GTGCTTACCTTGTTCCCGGAGACCCAGTCCCTCTCGGGAGGGTAACAAGGGAAAGTGCTCAGTGCAGATCAGTGAGTAAGCACAAGCCCGCCCGTGCTTACCTTGCTCCCGGAGGAAAAATCAGGTATAATAGAAAATTGAGAGTTGGGGTCTTACAAAGTCCAGGAGCACTATGAAACAGAATTTTAACTGCCAATTTATTGAGTCCCCACTTCAAATCAAAGAGTAACTAATTCTTGCTAAGGACATCAGACTTCCAAGCAGAAGCTGCCTGAGGATGGAGGCAGATGTGTGAAAAGGATGCATCTGGGATGGGCCTTCAAGCAAGGCTTCAAACCAGTTCATTCTGGTTTGATTCCCCTGCTGAGAATTTGCATTTCCACCCCAGATACACTGAATCTGAATCTACATTTTAACAAGATCCTCAGGTGATTCTTACAGATCTTGTTAATATGTAGATTCTGATGCAGTATATGTGGGGTGGAAAAGTAAATTCTTCACAGGGAATGAACTGGTTTGAAGCCCTGCTTCTAGCATGAAATTCTGAGGGAAGGACAGCAGTCCCACACCGGAGGCTAGATCGGGGAGCCTGGAGGTTGGTAGTATGGACTAGGCTAGACCTGCTGGTTCAAATGCTAAAAAAACGGGTAATTTTGGGGTTTGCCACCTCAGGTTGGGGCAGGCCAGCTGTGACTGCAAAGCTTTCTGGAGATAAGGACTCTGAGACCTTCCTTTGCCCCCAAGGAAAGCTCAGTCTACAGAGCTGGCTCCTTTTCTCACTTGGTTTTCTGGGCCCTGCTGGGTGCTAATGGAAAATCCCCAGGGACACAAGTCTCTCCCTGTTTCCTTAAACCAGGGCCAGCTGGAACTTCTGCGGAGGCTCTTCACAGAGGCCCTGTATGAGGAAGCACTCAGCCAGGTGAGTGTGGAGAGGGTGGGCAATGGTTTTCCAGTCACTCCATCTCTCCAGGAGTCATTGGGCTCAGCCTCCCCTACTGGGACTGCTGAGCCAAAGCTGAATTGGTCTTCTGGATTTGGGGTGGAAGTCACTCACAGAAGACCTCCTGAACAGAGAGTGCATCAGGAAGAAAAACAAGTGTCTGTAACCTGAGCATTCATCTCCTTGCCCTCTCTTTCTCTGTAGTGGTTCACTCCAGATGGATTTCGGTCTCTCTTTGCTCTTGTTGGGACCAATGGCCAAGGAATCGGGACCAGGTTAGGAGAGAATGTTCCAGGGCTGTTGGACTTTATCTCTCAGCGCTCTGGTGGGAGATGGACTGAGGAAGGTCACCACAGCTCCTTTAAAGATAGGTGGGGCAGGGTGTCCATCTATGGCCAGAGCACTGTACTGGACACAGTGAGGGGAGTCAGAAATAATGAGGTGGTAGAGACACACATTAATTGGGTGAAGAGAAAGACAAAAAAGAATGTGGTGGTGGAGGCTGTTCTTGGGAACCTTGATCTGTTGGGGACAGGTCTTTGAACAGGCTCATTCGAATTTGACCCCCTGAGGATTTTCTTTTCTACCCCGATATACTGAGTCAGAATCTACATGTTAACAATATCCCCAGGTGTTTCTTAAAGGTAATGTTAACACATAGATTCTGATTCAGTAAATGTGGAATAGAAATGCAAGTTCTCAGCAGGGGGTCAAATTGGAATGAACCAGTTGGAAGCCCTCACTGGGGAAGATAGAGCCCCCACCCTTGAGAAAGACATGGGGTATGAGTGGGATAACCTTTCTGCTTGGGCTTAACTTGCCTGGAAGTGGAGAGCCCTGTGACCTGGGCCTCCTCCTCTCCCACCATGGGCTTCCTGGGACCTGTAGCTCCCTGAGCCAGTGGGTCCATGCCTGTGATGCTCTGGAGCTGAAGCCTCGGGACCGTGAGCAGCTGGACACCTTCATTGACCAATTGTACAAGGACATCGAGGCAGGTTGGTGAGATGGTGCCTTGGCCTCACCCATCCTTAGAGATCCCCTGGTCAAAGTGGATGCACAGTCCAGCCCCAGGGAGCATTCAGTTAATGGTGGGGGTGGGTAATTCCTGTGTGCTTGTGGGGAGCCTCAGATCTGTCCATAGAACATGTGGACAAGAAAGGGCCTGGGATCATGCAGAGGGAGAGAGTGCTAGGCAAATAGGGTGATGATGTTTATGGAAAAGCAAAAGCTTATGCCTCAGAGGATCAAGTTTAGATAAAATGGTGGAGACCAGGTGCATTAGTGTGGTGGGGGTGCTGAACAGTGGAGCTAGTCCCTGTCCTTGTTAAGCCTAGTTTCCTTTTCCCACCAATAAAATGGGTAGAATAATGTCTGTATATTACTGTCTTACAGCAACTGGCGAGTTTCTTAACTGTGAAGGATCTGGCCTCTTTGTGCTTCAGAGCTGCTGTGAGTCAGGGCTTCTAGTAGGGGGATCCTGGGGACATATCTGCCTTTGTTGAGAATCCTCACAGCCACAATTAATTTCTCATTGGGCCCCTTTTAGGATGATGGGATTGAGTCTGGGAGTAGGGATAGGTCTCAGCTTCCTTGAGTATTTCCCTGGGGCCTTTTCTTGCCATCATTTTTTCACTCATTCATTTGACTGTTCTTGCTTTAATATATGTTCATATATAATATTTTGTAGTGGGTCAGGCCCTGTGCAAAGGCAAAGCACAAAGCTCTGATTCTTGCAAAGGAAAGGATGGGCTTTGGGCCATCACTGCCCTGTGAGATTTGGCAGGGGAGTGTTGGGAGAAGCTGGGAGGCCCTCAGGATTTGAGGAAGAGGGAGCTTGTAAGCACCTGATGGGGAGGGAAAAGTCAGCTCATGCCAACTGCCTTTTGGAGGTCTCAGCCTCCCACCCTCTGGTTTCCTCACTGCAAAGCCTCCTCCCAATTGCTGGGCCACTCTACCCTTCCCACACTGGGCTCTCAGAGGGTCGGGCTCAGCTGTTATCAAATGGTCAATAACAGATGGACCTAAGTTAAGTGGTCTGGTACAGTATCTGTTCAGGGCCCTGCCTTCCTTCTCAACACTTAGAATGAGCTTGGCCTATGAAGAGGGAGCAGGGCAGTCATAGTAGGTGGGAATGGTCAGTGATGTGGCTGTGCATTTGTTTCTGCTCTGTGATCTTCAGAAAAGAGCACTGGATGGACAATCAGGAAACTTGGGGCAGGGATAAGAAAATGAGAGAGGAGGATGGGACCCAGTGTTCTGCCCCTGCTGAGGCTATTTTTATTTGTCAATAATCATCATTACCTGCCTTTCATGACCTAGGCAATCACAGCTGTGTTCCCAATGCAGAGACCTCCTTCCCAGAAAACAACTTTCTTTTGCATGTCACCGCCCTGGAGGATATTAAGCCTGGAGAGGTGAGGGGGGCAGGAATCATGGAGGATGGGCAGTGAGCCTTGTAAGTTGTTTCCAGGTGTTGGGAGCTACAGTGGCTAGAGCCCCTTAAAATTCAGCCTGTTGGGTTGAATTCCTGTGTGCCCCAGGGTGCAAATCTTTTTGCTGATGGGTTTGCTCACCTTACCCACCACTTATTCAAAAAATAAATCCAGAATGCCTCAGAGCAGTGTTTGAAGGGCAGCTTTGTGTGCCCAGTTTTTTGTCCTCAGCCATCTCTTGATCAACAAATCTAATATCTAAGAAACTAGGAGGAGATGGCACTAGGCAGCTTGGTACATGGGGGACTGGCGTGGGTTTGGGGATCCTGGCTGTTAGCATAGTGCACAGAGCCTGGGTGAATCTTTTTCCAGGACAAATGGCATCACATTAAGATAACTTCTAATCACAGTCATAGGGTTGGAATCACCCTGGCCATGGCTTTAACCACTGAGGCTAAGCCCAGTCCCTTCTGTCTCAGAGAGGTGTTAGAGCCTCATAGTGGCCTACCTGCTGAAGCTGCAAGAGGGATCAGGGCAGTGAACCCCTTTTCTGAAGGGCAGCTCAGGCTGGGCTCCTGGGGACTGGTTGGGGAAGTGCTTATTTAATATAGGGAACAGACTGTCAGACCCCACCCTCCCTTCCCCTCTGCTCCCCTCTCATTGCAGGAAATCTGTATCAGCTACTTAGACTGCTGTCAACGGGAGCGCAGCCGCCATAGCCGCCACAAGATCCTCAGGTGCCAAGTGGGGACATGGTGGGCACTGGGGCTTTGTAGTCCTCTGCCCCCGTGGCTGCCTGACTTTCCGCCACTACCACCATCCCCCATCCCCTGTAGGGAGAACTATCTGTTTGTCTGTTCCTGCCCCAAATGCCTGGCAGAGGCTGATGAACCCAATGTGACCTCAGAGGAGGAGGAGGAAGACGAGGAGGAAGGAGAGCCAGAAGATGCAGAGCTGGGGGATGAGATGACTGATGTGTGATGTTCTGCCCAGAAGGGGCCCCATCCTAGACCCTGCTGGAAAAGGAGGTCCTTCCTCCAGAGAAGAGGTTTGGAAGGAAGTCCCCACCCCTGTTGCCTGCTTTTCCCTCAATCTAGCCCTGTCTCTGCCTGAGCATAGGACAGAGGATGGACCCTAGGCCCTCCACCAGACCTCATGCCCTGGACACTGCTGCTGAGTTGTCTCAGGCTCTGTGCTGTCACCGAGCCCTTCAGAATCGGCCTCCCCCTGAGGTATTCCACTCTAGGGTGTGAGGGGCTGGAACCAAGGTCAAGGCCTGACAGTATTTCTTCCCCTTGCCTCACGGCCCACCCTTGCCCATCCACCTGAGGCTTCTCCTCTCTCAGCTTGCTAATGTTCTCTTCTGAGGGGAGTAGGATAATGGCACAGCCTTGAAAACTCTATGGAGCAGTTCTGCTCTGCACACATGGGGTCACCATGAGTTAGAATCAACTGGATGACGACAACAAAATGGCAAATCTGAGAAATGCCTGATTTCATTAAAGCAGAAAGGGAGAGTGGGAGAACCCCTCCCTTTTTCCCCTACCTCCCACCTGCCAACGTTGTAGCCAATAAGGCAACTGCTGGGAAAGGCAGAGGAAGAGCTGAGCGCCCAGAGCTCCTTCCCTAAGGCCTTTTGCCAGGGGACACTGCATCAGGGGGATTACTTCCCTTTTCACCTCATTCCTGTCATTTAGACATCTGGGATAGTGGAGATAGGCCCTTGCCCAGATGCCAAAATCTTTGTACCTTGTGCCTTGTTCCTAGGCCCTGGCACAATGGCTGGCCCATGGGGTATAGAAGAGGCCTGGCCTTCCTCAGATGGAACATATAGGGGTTATCACCTCTTTCTCACTGAGGACACTAGCAGCATGGTTGATACCTAGGGGATGACAGGCCTGTGCTCCTTAATTTAGGAGCTCTGGTGGCGTAGTGCCTAAGGCATTTGACTGCTAACCAGAAGGCTGGAGGTTCAAACCCACCAGCCACTCCTTGGAAGGAAGGTTGGGCAATCTACTTCCATAGTGATACTGCCTCAGAAACCCAAGGAGGGGTCGCTGTGAGTCAGCTCTGACTCAACGGCAGTGAGTTTGGTTTTGGTTTGGTTTAGAGTCTTCCCTGGGTCAGTGAGGGGCTCTCCTGGCCTCAATCTCTATCTTTAGGGTCTCCATAGAGGAACACTGAAGTCTTCTGAGACTTAGAGGAGCTGGGCTGCAGACTATGAGATTAGTCCTGACTGTGTACCCCCTTCTCACTCCTTTAGCACTACCCATTGATCTCTGGTTGGGTGCTGTGGGAATTACAACCCATTACTCCCAATTCCTTCTTGCCTACCTTCCCTGAGGGGCCTACCACATCCCTTTCCTGAGGAAGAGCTCCCAGAAGAGCAAGAGCCCACACAGACCTTTTCCTGGATCATGGAGCCAGTGAACCTGCTTGCCTGGCCACTTCACCTATTGGGTTCTCACTCCTTCACAGCAGCCAGCACCCCTCTCCCATGCCTGTCCACCCACTGTTCTCAATAAAATGTGAGTGGTGACAGGCAGGCCTCTACCGGAATGCTTTATGGAGGATGGTTTGATAGGCTACATGAGGCCCCAGTAGTCACGTAGGAAGGTATAAAGAGGCACATTAAAACAGACAGTGTTGGGGGGATGCAAACCTCAGATTCCCCAGTTTGAGCTCATCTCTGGTCTCAGTCACACTGCTGTGCAAATGCACCTAAAGACCAAAAAGTAAGAATTCTCTGAAGTCCAGTGTGGATCCCCACTCCCAGGTTATGAGCCATCTCCTTAGAAGGCTCAACTGTGGCTTTCTTGGCACTTAAACAGGAGGCTATATTGGGATCAGAGACCAGCAGTCTGGGTACTGGTCCTTAAGGACCTTGGGCAAGTCACTAGTCCTCTTTTGGCCTCAATTTCTTGTCTCAAAATAAGGTATGGGATGAGTGAGTTTTAAGGGCCCTTCCCTCCCCTGTGTGCTCTTACTCTAAGACACAGTTGCAACCCTGATGAGCAGCTTTATTGCTAAAAGTCAGTGAAGGTTTATTAAGTCCCAGAACACCAGCTACTCAGACCACTCCAGCAACTTCTGGTAGAGAGGCTGTGAACAGCATTGTGAGAAGACCCTGGGTGGGGAGGCTTGAGCCAGGTGGGATGTAGCAGGTGGCTACATGTAGTGAGGGATGGCTCTCAGGTTACCTTTTGTTCCAGCTCCTAGCCAGAAGCCCTGGGCCCTAGGCAGGAAAGGCCAGTGGTGCGGCTTCCCTCCTTCAGCCTAGTCAAGACCCAAGCCTTTCCCTGGTTCCCACCCATCCCTAAATGTTCTCCCCAATTTCCAAACAGCAGAACTCCCAGGGTTCTCCTCCCCACCCCAGAGTTGCTTATGGTTGGAAAGTGGGACCAGTCTTCTACCAGAAGGTCCAGGGTGGCTGCAGCAGCTCAAAGGTGGGGATGCTGGTGACATTGACTGGAATGGAAATGATGGCCCATGGCAGCCCATGCTGTTGCAGAGAGCGGCGGATCATGTAGCTGGGAGGGCATGAAGAGAGGTGGCAATGGTCACCTCAGCACCCCATCATGCCCTGCTGTCCCCATCACTGGGAATTCCAGAGCCCAAGGACTCTTTTTTTGCCTTGTAATTGGGGCGCCCCAAGATGAGGCCTGAGAGAAGGGATTGGTGATTGCCCTTGACCTCCCCGAGTTACGGCACCCAGCCTGGTATTGACAGAGCCAGAGACAAGAAGCCCTCACCCATCTCGGCCAAGCAGGAAGAGGGCTGGGATGTCAGCAGTGCGCTGGGTGCTATCCTGGATCATCTCCACGTAGAAGCTGTCATTGTCAACTGCGTTGTCAGATATGATCACTGCCCGTCCACCATGTTCCTGTACCACCCGGGTCTTGGACAGGAAGGAGCAGCCCCTGGAAGGGGTGGTGATGAGACTGAAGGAAAGGGTTCTAGCTAACCCTTTCCAGACCATCACCCTGTGTGGATAGGAGAAGGCCGTGGAGAATTTTTTATAATGGCTAATAAGTAAATACCCAAAAGGCATGGGTGATCTTAAGACACTTTTTAAGACCTTTAAAACTGAATTGCCCCCAAAAAACCTGTTTCAAAGCACCACTAACAACAATGATCCCTGAATCTGTTCACTCCTTACCCCCTCTCCACCAGAGCAATTTGGTCCTGGATGAAGAAACCATTGCTGAGTTCCCCGCAGGCCTCTGGGGGTTCGGCGGGTACAAGGTGGATCTGTTCATATCTTGTGTGCTGAAAGACATTCAAGTGGGTGAGAGTGAAGAGACTCGCCTGCATTAGGACTGGGTTGACGATCCCATGTAATTGGTTCCTCACAGAGTGTGAAGAAAACAGGGAGTGGTTTCTGCGTGTGGGCACAGGAGCATTTTTATTTCATTCTCACAAAGGCCTATCTCATTGTCCTACCCTACCTTGCCTTTTTGAGAGAGGGGAATTGATACGGACCCAGAGAGGGGAAATGACTTTGCCTTAAATTACACAGGTCAGAGGTAAAGGTGGCTGGCAGAGGAAGCTGGTACCCTTGGTTTCTCACTATGTCATGACAGCCTGTCCCTCCATGGTGTCCATGTCTGTGCTAGACCCACAGGAGTAGCTGGAAGCATTTCTTCCCTGCATTGCAGCCCCTGGAAGGCACAGCTGGATTCTGCTCCCTTCCTTGTCCCAACACTGGGCTGTGACAACACTCAGGTACTGGTTGAAGGGATGAGAAGAGGAAGTCAGGTTCAGAGTGGAGGGGGCCTCCCAAAACTTACAAAGATACCACCGAAGTCCTTGGCAGGCGTGGCTGTGAAGATGTATCGAATGTCCCCAGGACTCAGTACTTGGAAGTACAAGTAGTCATGGATGCGTAAGCCTGAAGAATAAAGAGTACAGATGAGAGGCTTCTGGGAGACAAGTTGGTTCAGGTTCAGACCATGAACTGTGTCTTCGACTGGACCCCCTAGGAGGTTGAGATAGATGGCAGTCCATGGTATTACTTGGATCCACAATCAACACCAATGGAAGCAGTAGTCAAGAAATCAGATGTCGTATTGCACTGAGCAAAGATGTCACTTTGAAGACTACGGTGTGACTAACTCAAGCCATGGTATTTTCAGTTGCCTCATATGCTTGTGAAAGCTGGACAATGAATAAGGAAAACCAAAGAAGAGTTGATGTTTTTGAATTGTGGTATTGGCAAAGAATACTAAAAATACCATGGACTGCCAGAAGAACAAACATGTTTGTCCTGGAAGAAGTGCAGCCAGAATGCTCTTTGGAAGCAAGAATGGCCAGACTACTCACCTATTTTGGTCTTGTGGCCAGAAGGGACCATTCCCTGGAGAAGGATATCATGTTTGGTAAAGTAAAGGGTCAGTGAAAAATGGAAAGAACCCTCAACAGGATGGATTAACACAATGGCTGCAACGATGGGCTTAAGTATAGCAAGGCTTGTGAATATGGCACATGACCAGGCAGTGTTTCATTCTGTTGTACATAGGGTTGCTGTGAGTCGGAGCTGACTCTTTGGCACCTAACAGCAAAAACAAATCATCTTAACACACAAACACGATCAGTTCATCATCCCCAGGACTTCAGTGACTTCCCTTTGCACTTAAAATCAAATCTCAACTCTTAACCACAGCCTACAAGATGTTGCTTTATCTGGCCCCTGGCCACTACTACATCCTCATGTCCTTACCATATTCAAGCTATACCAGCCTCCTTTCAGTTTCTTGACCATCCAAGCTCTTCTCTTCTTTGAGTCTTCCTCCAGGCTGTTCTACGTGGAAGGCTCCCTATCCCACCTCTTTACCTGGCTCACTTCTACTCACCTTTTGGGTCACAGCTTAAATGCCACTTTTCTCAGAGAAACTTCTGCTATATGACTGCCTTCCCCTTATACCCATTCAAAATGAGCTCCCCTTGAACCTTTTCTCCATTGATTTTTTTAAAACAATATATAATTGTATAGTATTCTTAATTTTTTTATTAGTGTCTGTCTCCTCCAGTAGGGCAAGGATTATAAATTTTTAGGTTAGTTCATTGCTGCATTCCAATGTGTAGCATAAAGATACAGTGGGTGCTCAATAAAAGTTGATGAAAGAACAATAACTATTTCTGGCTCCAGTACACTGAGGAAGAGAATTGCCAGAACAACCAGATTTTTCTGGGGTGTGTCAACTTCTTTTTTCAGCACCAAAGCTTAATATTTTATTTGGCTTTCAGTACCTCATTTCCTTAACCAAGAGAGATTAAGAGATGGTGAAGGGTGAAAATACCACCATAGGTTGATTAGTCAACAAGTTACTACTGTGTGACAAAAGTCTTCACAACTGGATCAATAAGCAACATCATGCTAAATGGAGAAAAGACTGAAGTCGTCAAGGATTTCATTTTACTTGGATCCACCATCAACACCTATGAAAGCAGCAGTCAGGAAATCAAATAACATATTGCACTGGGCAAATCTGCAAAGGACCTCTAAGTGTTCAAAAGCAAAAACGTCACCTTGAGAACTAAGGTGTGCCTGACCCAAGACATTCCAGGACCCCTGCAGATACCAAATCTGTTGATGCTCAAGTCTCATATAAAATGGTGTAATATGTGCACATAACATAGGCACTAATCTCTTGATTACTTCTAACATGTAATACAATGTAAATGCTATGTAAATAGTACTTTATCCCTCAGCCTTTGAGGGTTTGCTTTGACCACCTAATTGCCCTCCACTCCCCCACCCCCTGCCTCTGCAGTGCCAAATTTTCCATCTGTGGTTGATTGAATTCCCAGATACGGACCTTGTAGATACCAAGGGCCAACTGTGTGTTTATGTACATATGTATGTATGCATAAACATCTTTATGTATACATATACACCTGTATGTATACCTACACACATGTACACACACATATACAGATGCATGCATCTGTGCACATATATGTATACATGCATGTACAAATACCTGCATACACATATATGCATACAATTGTCGTTATGTGCTGTCGAGTCAGACTCAACTCATAGCGACCCCTCCTTGGGTTTCTGAGGCAGTATCATTACGGAAGTAGATTGCCCTATCTTCCTTCCGAGGAGTGGCTGGGGGGTTTGAACCACCAGCCTTCTGGTTAGCAGCCAAGTGCCTTGGCCACTATGCTACCAGAGCTCCCACATATACATACATACGTATAATAAATACGTGTGTGAACAAATGCACGCACAATACATGTACAATACACATGGGTACACTTGTGTATACACGCATGTATATGCACACACATGTACATATCTGCACGTATATGTATACGCACACATACGTATATGCACATTATGTATGTACGTATATGCGTATGTGCTTTTGTAGGTGCAAATGTGTGTGTATGTGTGCTTGTGTGTGAGAGCCCTGGTGTACAACTGTGAGCTCTTGTGTATATATGTGTGTACTCCAAACCAGAAAAAATCCAAACTCATTGTCAAGTTGATTCGACTCATAGCCACCCCTCCTTGAAAACACAGAGGCAGTATCTCGACGGAAGTAGATTACCCAATCTTCCTTCCAAGGAGTGGCTGGTGGGTTTGAAATGCCAGCCTTCAGGTTAGCAGTCAAATGCCTTAGGTACCACGCCACCAAAGCTCCGTAAGATCTGCTTATAGTATTTTCCAACTGTCCCCTTGTGCCTCGTCCTGGTCACAACCTTCGGCCACCTGGGTCGGCGCTAGTATGAGGTGATCAGTCCTGCTTCAACGTGGGAGGCTGAGGACTCCGAGCCCAGTCTCGAGCTCCGCCCAGTGCATGGCCCTGGGGCAGCACTTGCCCGTGCCAGCTGCCTGGCTCCACAAAGCCCTGCCCCAAACTCTCAGGGTCCCCAAGGTGACCCAAGGCCCCCCTCCCGAGACGCGCGCAAGCTGGACAGCCTGCGCAAGCTGGATAGTCCCGCCCGTTGCTCACCGTGAGCTGCGACGCACGCGGGGAAACAGAGCACGAGACAAAACCAGCCAGCGGCCCCAAGGAGCATTTCCAGGACCCGGCCCGGCTCTGCGATTCTCCCGGCGCCCCGCCGCGCGTCCCTTGTCGGACTTCAACCTGACAGCTGCTCCGGCCTCCCGCCCACAGACCCGCTCTCGCCATTCGTTGGCTGACGAGAACGAGGTCCATGGGCGATTGGCTATTACGCCTGCTCATGTAGCCACATTTTCCGCCTCTGGGCCTTAGCCCACTTCCCATTGGTCGACAGAAGTGGGGCCGAGGGCTGATTGGTTTGAACTCTGAACAGTAACTGCCAGCTCTCACCTCAGCCCCGCCCCAGTATTTCTCAGTTTGGATTCGGCTCTCCAGGGGTACACTGACTGGTGGGCGGCCGGGAGGATGAAAAACTGGGGGAGGGACTACTGCAAGACTAGCTTCATCCGCTAAAAAGTTCTGGTCGTTAGCACTTGCTGTCTCGGGTGGATCCCATCTGTGGCCGCTTTGCAAAACGACAGTTTACCAGGCACGAGCAAGCTGCTTTTCTTCCCTCGCCCCAACTCTCCCCACCAGTACGGAAGGCATTTGTCTAGCGCCCCTTGTCTTGTTCCTGTTGCATGGTTCCTTGCGTGCTCATAGTCGGTAGGTGCTGAGAATGTTGCCTGATTTGTCCCAGCCGCCAGGTTGTGGCCAGTGCAAAGTCAGAAAACGGGTATTAGGGCCAAGCTCCTAGCCAGCCTTTTCACCACGTAACTGTGTGTAACTGTGACTTTGGACACCATTTCTTAACCTCTTTTAGCCTCAGTTTCCTCATCTGTAAAGTAGGTTACTAATAGTACCAAGGCAATAGGGTTGTGAGGATTGAGATAATTTACATAAAGTGCTTATTTAGCATAGGTCCATCCAACAGCGTTAAATAAATGCATGCGTTTATTGCACTCTTTGGTCCGGAGTCCAGTGGGGAATGGGGCTGGAATTAGGGTTAGGAGGTGATAGAGGTGCAGTAAGGAGCCTACACTCTCGAAATGAAAAAAACAGGATCTTTCAGATAACTAACACTTCCTTGCGGAAACTAAAGCGCCCTCCACGGCTCAGCCCCGGAGGCTGGTCTATCCTTGTAGACTCTTTGGTAGAACCACAGAGTAGCGGAAGTGGTCCTTCCCCTTCCTCCCCCGGCGCACGGCCTTGGCGAAGGTTCTGGGGAGTTCTCTGGCGCGGGGGATTGTGGGGTTGCTGGACAGCCCAGACCGGTGAAGAGAGGAGGAGGAGCGGACCAGTAAATAAGCTTCCAAAATGATGGTGAGTGGAGTCTCGCGCATCCGTCGCCATCCGCTGCCATCCAGCCCATTGCTGGCACCGCCTCGCTGGCATTCACCCCCTAGGGTCCTCCTCTGCCTACCATCTCTGTCTCCACCCGTATCCCAGCCTGTGGGCGACCCTGGCCTGCCGTGGCCTGGCTCGGTCAGGGCACAGAGCAGAGGCCGTTAACGAGGGATACGTTGGGTTCGAGAGGAGGCTCCGGTCGGACGGATTGGGTACTACAAGTCCCAGGGTGCTTCGGGCTCCGAGCCCGCGTCGGGGAACTCGTTTTTGGGGTCCTCATCCGCATGTATGTAAAAGGGTGCGGGTTAGGCGTGCTTATTCGGTCGGCGGCAAGACTTGGGAAGCTGGGCGGCCTTTAAGAATGCGGGATGTAACGATGCTGTGTATTTCCTAGAATGGGTAGAGGCTACACGGGGACCTTACTTTGGGCTGAGCCCCGTGTTTTACTCTGGTCGCTCGCTGTCCCCCAGCCTACTCTGCAGCATCAATTGAAACAGACGCTAACTCTCATATTTTCCTTCATTTGCCGGTTCGCTCATTCATTAAGTAAACATATTTAATGCATGCTGAATGTACCAGGCTCAGCAAGAATGGACGGGGTAGACACGGACGACCCCTGTCCTGTCTGCATGTCCTGGTGTGACATTAGACCAGGCTTTTCTAATTGGCTCTTTCCTTCGAATAGGAGGCTGGTGGATCCTGGAACTCTACCCCTCCCACAACACCCCTTTCTCCATCTTGGAGCTGCAGATACCTTCCATGGGTACCAAACCTTGGTAGTATGTATTGAGTTGCTGTTGAGCTGGGTCAGCTCCTGAGGAGGTTTTTGTGTAGCGGCATTACTCTGTTCTTTTTCTGCTTCCTGCAGCTTTGCTCTGCTCTGGTAGATGTCTGACACCTGTGAGATGTTCCTTCTACTAAATGCCCCGTGAATTTATTAAGTTTGTGCCCAAGATTGTTGTTGTTGTTGTTGTTAAGTGCCGTCGAGTCGTTTCCGACTCATAGCGACCCCATGCACAGCAGAACGAAACACTGCCCGATCCCTCACCAGCCCCACAATCCCTGCTATACTCGAGCCCATCATCGCAGCCACTGTATCAATCCATCTCGTTGAAGGCCTCCCCCTCTTTCGTCGACCCTCCACCCTACCAAGCATGACATCCTTCTCCAGGGAATGGTCCCTTCTTACAACATGACCAAAATAGGTGAGACGAAGTCTGGCCATTCTTGCTTCCAAGGAGCATTCTGGCTACACTTCCTCCAGGACAGATCTGTTAGTTCTTTTAGCAGTCCATGGTACTTTCAGCATTCTTCGCCAGCACCACAACTCAAAAGCATCAACTCTTCTTCGGTCTTCCCTATTCATTGTCCAGCTCTCACATGCATACAAGGTGATTGGAAATATCATGGCTTCTGTCAGGCGCACCTTAGTCCTCAAGGAGATATCCTTGCTCCTCAGCACTTGAAACAGTTCCTTCGCAGTTGACTTTCCCAATGCTACACATCGTCTAATGTCCTGACTGCTGCTTCCGTTGGCATCGATTGTAGAACCAAGCAATGTGAATTCCTTGACAACCTCAATCTTCTCTCCATTGATTGTGATGCTGCTCATTGGTCCAGTTGTGAGGATTTTTGTTTTCTTTATGTTGAGATGTAATCCATACTGCAGACTGTATTCTTCAACCTTCATCAGTAGGTGCCTTAAGTCATCCTCACTTTCAGCAAGCAAAGTTGTATCGTCTGCATATCTCAGGTTGTTAATGATTCTTCCTCCAATCCTGATACCACGTTTTTCTTCATATAGTCCAGCTTCTCGGATTATTTGCTCAGCATATAGATTGAATAAGTGTGGAGAAAGAATACAACCCTGATGCACTCCCTTCTTGATTTTAAACCATGTAGTGTCCCCTTGTTCTGTTCGAACGACAGCCTCCTGGTCAAGGTACAGATTCCTCATGAGTACAATCAAGTGCTCAGGGATTCCCATTCTTCTCAATGTTATCCATAATTTGTCATGATCCACACAATCAAATGCCTTTGTATAGTCAATAAAACACAAGTAAACCTCTTTCTGGTATTCTTTGCCTTGAGCCAAGATCCATCTGACAATAGCTATGATATCCCTTGTTCCACGTCCTCTTCTGAATCCGGCTTGAACCTCTGGAAGTTCTCTGTCAATATACTGCTGCAAACGTTTCTGAATTATCTTCAGTAATATCTTACTTGCATGTGATATTAGTGATATTGTTCTATAATTTCTACATTCTGTGGGATCACCTTTCTTTGGAATGGGCACAAATATGGATCTCTTCCAGTCAGTTGGCCAGGTAGCTGTCCTCCAAATCTCTTGGCATAACTGAGTGAGCGCCTCCAATGGGGCATCTGTTTGGAAGCCAGACAGAGGAACAGTCAGCCACATTGACCCAGGTGGGGGGGATACGAGAGGTCTCCAACAGCAGGACAAACTTGTCTGTCGGTTTGTCCTACTGTGGTGACATGTAGAGGTGAGTTTTGAGGCTGAGCCTCTGGTGTTAAAACCCAGCGAGATGCACCTGGTGCATAGGTAACAGCCAGTTTATAGACTGAGACAGACTAGGAAGAAGGAAGAGGCCGTCCACTTCTGAAAGAATTGGCCAGGGAAAACCTTATGAATAGCAAAGAAACACTGTTTGGTACATTACCGTGCCCAAGATAGAAGGAACCTAAAGTTTATTTTTTTCCCCTCTTGGACCTCCAGCACCATCCGTTTCCAACTGCCTTCAGCATTACTTATTCTTTTAACTTTCTGTGCAAGAGAGTTGAGATTCGAGGCACTGGAGTCACACTGAATGCCTAGGTTTTTAACTCAGCTCTCCCACTTAGGAGCCGTGTGAGTTTGAGCATGTTACTTCATTTCTGGTCTTCAGTCAGAAGAGAGAGCATCGAATAGAGAGGATTAAATGAATTAATATATGTAAAGTGCATAGAGCCATGCCTGGCATGTAGTAAGTACTTAGCAATTGTTAGCTGACAGATGTTTACTTCATTTTTCTTGTGGTCCATCCCGCTGCCAAGGCATTCACAAAACTAGGAATCAGAACCTAGATTATTCTCTCTGGTAATAAAATCCTTTATCAAGGGACTTCAGACCACTGCACTTGGGTTTTTCCTGGACTGACCCTACTCATCACTGTCAGATTGACCCTGTTTCTCTGCTCTCGGTTGGGTGGGTATATTCTCCTTTAGGAATGTGAAACTTTTGTTTCACCAAGAATATCTTTGCTATCAGATTGATCCCTGATACTCTAGAAGCCTTTGAGAATAGTAAGATGTTCCCATCAAGCTTCGGTCCTGTGGCTGTTGTACCACTTGTACGGAATGTAAATCCTTTTGTGGTGTTTACCACTGTCTACTTTGGCATATAAACATGTGTTCTTGTTTTACAGAACATCAAGCTTAATAGTGCTTAAAAAAAAAAGTTTTTTAAGGAGGATCATTAAGCTAAAATTCCTAAACCTTCCATGATACCTTTGGCAGATTCTGCTGTTGTTCCTTTACTTACGAAATGAAAGTGAGTGGGGATAAGTAACGTAGGACAAAGCTGGGCTGTCCATGGCAGTGCTTTGCTGTGTAGCACTGATAGAGAAGGACCCATCCTACTTGACATGCCTTGTCTCAGTCCAGGTCTGCTGGCTCTCCACAGGCTCTTCTCAACCCAGCCTGCCATTTCTATAGGTCCTACAAAGCATAGGGAACTTGGGAAACATGCACTCAGCTTCTTCCAAGCCCTTGCTTTGTACTTAAGAATTCTCAATGTATT